CCCGGCTGCCAGGGGCCTCAGACGGCGGGATTTGCTCCGGCCCCCGCCGCAACCTCCGTGGCCGTGGGCAGCGCTTAAATCTCTTGTCGAGACACCGGGCTTCCACGTCTGCCCTAGACACGCGTGACGATGTGGTACTGTCACCTCACAAGCCTCGGGCCGCTGGTTCTGTGCCGAGGTTGGTAACAAGCCCTCAGAAACAAACGGCGCCAGGGGGAAAGCAGCCTGAAACAACGACCCTAACCCCTGTCTCCATCGCGGATGCTCCGGGTTTCGGAGAAAAGCCGGAGCAAGTCGCTGCTTTCGCAGTAGGAGGACAGCTGCGAAGACCCTGCCAACACCCCGCGCCCCCAGGTTCCTCCCGGCCTCGCTCCAGCCCCGGCCCAGCCAGGCGCTGAACGGGCACGGCCTGGGAAGGGCCGGGAAGGCAACCGGCCTCCAAAGAGTTGGGACCTGACGCCCGGGCTCCCGCACAGCCCCGGGCACCGGGAGGGCAGAGCCTGCCCCTGGCTGCCAGCTTCTCCCTGAGCCCCTACCGCCTACATGAGCACTGCCCACAGAAACATCGGCTGCTTCTTCTAGAGATGAAATAACTCGGACTACGTAACACATACTAGAACCCCTTTGGGTTTTTTCTTTAGTTTTCGAGAATTTTAGCTAACACATGTAAAAGAAAAGAAAAGAAAAAAAAATCCCCTCATCACCTCTTTTACATTAAAGACTAATGCCTATAAACGACAAGACAGCACTGGGCAATGGCCCCTCGTGTGCACGCTGAGTCCTGCACAGGCCACACAGCGCCCAGCTCTCGCCAGTGAGCTCCTGCTTCCCCTTCTCACTTTTAGTTGTATTTGCTCTCACAATAACACAGGTGTGCAACATACACTGCTGCAAATACAATGTAAATCATACTTAAATAAAACTAATTAATTTAGCGTTATCCACCATTCTTTATGATCCAGTCTTTCACACTATATCAGATAAGAATGTACTGTCTGAAGCTTTGATCAGTCCTGTACCCTGTACACTTAATCTTTCAGGTATCAAAAGAAAGCTAACACAAAACCAGATCTGTAAAGTATTTGAAATCTGTTAGCAGCAGGGCCAGCAAGCACATAATGTATTATTAAAATTTCAAGTTAAACCCCAAGTGCTGCAGTAGGCAGTATTTAGCACTTCTGGAAAAAAAGACAAAAATAGTATCACCCTACCACACTGCTGACTAAGTATACATGCAAAATGCCAACATTCACTCCTACTCTGTGTGTTGCAAGCTTCTCCAAGATTATTTTTTTTCTCCAGCAGCAGTAGAAAGACTTGGATCTTTCTTACAAGTAGAACAAAAGAAAGCAGACATGGTCTATCGAATATATGGAATGGCTTTTACAGAAGAAATCAAACAGTTGGGGATTCTTCAGCCTCAAAAAAGAGGTGGCTGGAGTCCACGTGATGAAAAACACGAGGGATGGTATGGATAAGTTCAGTGAGTCCAATTGCTTGCCATTTCTCAAAGCATGAAGACTAAAAGACACTCAGCAAACTCATCCTCCACGGGTTTAAGACAAATAAAACCACAGATGGATAAATAAGTATGGATCTGAGTGTCAGAATTAGACAAAAATCATAAATGGTTAAGCAAAATGGCCCAGCCACAACTTCCTAAGTTCATGTCAGGAAAAAGGCATCAGGTTAAACCACTTTATCTAACCCAGTACAGCTATTCACATGTTCAGGTATCCCAAGTTTTAATTTTAAGTATTAAAAAAAATAAATCCATGAAGTATTAAATTCATAGATTAACAAGATTACCTATAACTGACTGAACTGTTCTCAGAAGCTGAACATAGAAGCTACTGCTAGGTCCAAGAGAGGCAGAAATAAATTTTGTTCTGGAAAGGACCTTAAACCTCAGTATTTCTGGAGCTCAGTCACTCACGAAGTACATCCTGGCCACTGCAGGGAGAGAAGAGGTAGAACAGAGTTATGTACCCTGGAGAGGTAAACCAGACTTTTTCTAAATGAACTCTCACACCAGTTCAAAACTGCAGAAGAGAAGCTAGTATTCTATGCACATATTTTAGTAACTTGACCCACATTTCTTTAAGTATTAAAAGTAACTTTTATTAAAAGAATAAATTCTCTTTACAAATACAATCATTACTGTGTACACATCCTCTTCAATACACAGTGCTGTTAAAAGCCACCAGCATTCATATAAAATACACTATCAGTTTTTAATTGCATAATTTTATACACACATACATCATTTTGCAGATCTAAAAAGGAAGAAATTATTTGCATTTGTGGGGGGTTGGTTTGTTTGTTTGGTTTTAAAGGACAGAGCGGTATTTACAAGCAAACATGATCCAAACAGCACATGCAGATTCAGGGTATGTAAACACTCGTACACGAACTGCGAGTCGTACTTGGTCTCCCCTACAGCAGATTATTTCTTCACAAAAAGGAGACCTACATGACAAAAAGAAAAACAAGAGCAACAGATATTACTAAGCTATTATTAAAATTTACAATTACGTATGTGCATTTTTTTAAAATGTGACTAACACTTAAACAACAGTGAGTGTCATGAGTCTGTCATTACAAATAATAATACTGTTCTCTAGTGCAGGGGCTGTTGCCTTGAAGGAAAACGAGACCACCACTAATAATTTTTAACAAGTGCAGAGAAATTAAATTGTTCTTTAATTTAACCCATGTTCTTTAATTTAACCCACTATTATATCACTGAGCTCACCAACATAACATAAAAGCTCTGTACCCCGTGACCCATTACACATGTACCATACAACTCTTCTTCCAGTTCTAATTTAAGGAAATTAATTTTCTTTAAATTTCATTAATGAAAAGATGAGTTGCAATTCACAAGTATTGCTATTTGGGTTTAACATCTATATCTCTTTACATTTAAACTTACCGAAGACACGTGGCAAATGCTCTCCTGGCATTTCTGTACACAAAATGGATAGGAAACCCTTTAAATGTGTGACCATCAGGTACTGCTCTTCTTACAGCATCTTGAAACTCTTCATTTCCTGCTGAAATACTTGTTGTACGTTCAAGCTCATAGGCTGCTAATGCTGGTGACAACAGATAGGACAGATGGTCATCCCAAACAGTAGAAAGGCCAAGATCCTGTGAGGCAAGTCACAGAATGATGACAACCGTGCAGAATGAACATTAGGATATGACTAAGCTTGTATATTGTATAGATTCGAATAAATCCATGACAATCTTTAATTTGTAGTTAATGGAAGCGAACCCATGAAGCAGTAAGATTTGTATATTGACTCACACACCAACTGGAAGAATCAAACACCACCAACCAACTATCAAACATTTAGCAAGGAATGAAGTTAGACTACTAGACTAAAACAAAGACCATCAGAGTTGAAATGAGACGTTTCAGCTACAGTATCTCTCCGTGAAGTGTAAAAAGAGAGTGCATAATGCACAGCAAAAATATCGGAAAGATTAACTAAGATTTATGTCATGTTTTTCTAATGTCCCTCATGGAAACCCACTTCTGAAAAAAACAGTGCACAACAGTTACCCAAAACACATACACATGTACATGCACCTTCCTATCATCCCACAAATGCAAAGAAGTAGAAAAATCTACCACATGTGTATTCAACATTGTATGAGACTCAAAGTCTGGAATTACTTGCCACCCCAAAGGTTGAGCTTTGTGTGGGGAGACAAAAATGAAAACCACCATAAAACACCATTAAAACCAGACATCAGCTAACAGGGGTTTTAAAATATCATCTCTTTCGTATCCAACACAGGAAGAATACTACCTGGCACATTATGTATTTGAAAAACCCTGATAAAGGATGAAACTAACTTCTAGAAATACCGATGAAACTAACTTCTAGAAATACCTTCTTTGTAAAGCAGAGTAAGCTGAAATCATGCTTTTATCTAGGGACCAAAACCATTTGTGATGGATAGGCAAAGCTTATTAACAATCAGATTTGATCTTCCTACCTCTTTTACAGACCACTTTTACAAATCACCATTGCACATAATAATCATGACATCTAAATTAGCTCAATATAATCTTTCCAAACAATTTTTCAGTTATTTCACTTTTCACATACCACATTTCTGCAAAAGCTGATGGAAAACACACTGCAAAGACATGCTTATGTGAGCAAACAAATGCCTATCCAAAACAAGCAAAACATGCGCCTTCATTACCGCAACAGATCAATGACAATCTAAGCGGTATTACCTTTCTGTGTTCAGACACCAGTAGTCTCATCTGCAATTCTATCTCATTGCTCGTTATCGCAGCATCTATCGGGGAAGCACACAGAGGAGGAAAAGGGGGAACTGAAGATGTTGTTCCAGGGGGACATACAGATTTTATTGCTTCTCCACTCATGGGTTTCCATTTAGATTCATCATGCAGGTCAAACACACAGACCTCCACAGCATCAGAGGGCTGACAATTTCCAAAGAACTTTTGATGGTTGAAGATACAACCGATTGTGCGATAAGGATACAGTGGCTTGGGTTGTTCAACTAGTGGAGGGTCATCAGGGTTGATAGGTCTGTGGATGTACCTAACCAAAAACATTCAATTTCTTATTAATACACCTTATTTCAAGGCAAGATAAAAATATTTAAATGGGACAGATATAAAACATTTCTCCTTTAAATATATAAGCCAAGTTTGTTAACTTTTTTTTTCCCCCCCTCAAAATGGCATTCATTTATTTACAGAAAAGTAATTATATGCATTTTGGAGGCATAACATACACTGAAACAATACATCACTTTTTTCTTTAGATATAGAAAAATAAGCTGATTAATGAAGCAGATAATCAACAGCAATTAAATTTTGCAATTATAACAACATGCCCACACGGTTTTGCCACTATTCATCACATTTGGAGAAATCCATCTTTGAATGCTAATCACAGGATAAGCAATTCTGGTTTGCCACTGTTTGTGTATTTTCAGTACTGGATATAACAGGTTCCAGAAGCTTTGGAATACAGAACAACTACATGTGACTTTCTAAAATGACTCAAGTGAGAGAGAATCTCAGAGAACCTGCAGAGATTTCTGCAGGGGAAAAAAGTAATGTAACACTGATTTCACAGATGAAATAAGAAAAAAAAAAAAAGGGTTTCCTAAACACTCATGAGATTTCATCTCCTTCTTTACAAATGATGGCAGCAACAGAACCAATAGCAATCAGCTGTCATAAGACACAAACCAATTACTATACAGTATTAAAGCAAATGAACTATATTACAGACTGAACTATATATAAACTATATTACAGACTATTGAAATACTTCACACTGAACCAGTTATTTTCCAAAAGCAATACACAGAAAAAAGATTCAAAGACAAAAGTCACCTGGATTACATGACAGTTACATGATGGGGTGTAAAGATAAAAAACAAAAAAGCAACAGCAAAAATATCCCATTCAAACCTCAATATACATAGTTCACTTTTCTTACACTTCTTTTCCTCACCTATGTCCTGTTAAGCTCTCCCAAAAAGTAACTGTTCCATCAGTTCCACAAGTCATTACCCATGTGTGAGGGACTCCTTTTGCTTTCGTTCCAACACACACAAAGGCCTCCAATCCAAACCCAAGAAGAAGACTGCACAGCAGATTAGCATGATCTTCACAGTCACCCTAGACAGTAAACATCAGTAAGTTGGTTTGATTATCAGGCATGAATAAAGTCTTAAAGAAAGAAAAGGGTGATACTTCTCTAACCATTATTTAATAAGTCATGTTTCCCTTCTGTTTCCTAAAACACATTTCAGAAGTCAGGATTTTAAGGTTTAAACTTGGTAAGTTTTACTTTTCTGCAATAGAATAAATCAGTTAACATTAGTAATACTTTCTAAGGATAGGCTATTTATATTTTTGATTCAAATATAGTGATAACTAATACTGGAAAACATTTCTTATGATTATAAAGATACCTTCAAGTAACCCAAAACCTGTGAAGACAAAGACAATATTCTAATTAAACCTAAAAACTTACAGAAGGCAAATACCTAAGGTAAGACTAGAAATTACACAGTATTTTCATACAGGAAATGTAGTCACCTAATAAAATGTAATTCTACTGTTATTTCACTGCTTTGAATGTGTTGTCAAGGTTCAGAAATTAAACAAAGATAAAACAACCTCTCCCACAGATCTAATTATAAACTAGCTGAAAGTCATGTGTAGCTGCTTTTCCCTTGAGTCAGAAAAACATTTCTTTCATAAATACAATACTACCATTGATAATTCAGAGAAAACAATTTCCAAAGTGATGTCTAATATTCTTTGTCTCAAATTCTTTACAAGTGTTAGCTGTAAAGTGAGAGCAAAAATTCCTCATGCAAAGAAGACTTCATAGTACAAAACACACCACTCAGAAGAATAAGGCTCTTCAGTCAAAAACTGTTCAGAATGTTGAAAATGTAAAATTCAGGGTTCTTAGATCTATCTGTTCATTACACAGATTAACAGATCTTCCCCTACCATAATGTACAAGGGAACTATGCAGAAAAGGTGGTTTAAACAAATTCTGTGGTGTTCATTTAATAATGTCATACCACTTTCAAAAAGAAAAATAATAATGGTCCAGCTGGTGTCTCAGGGGCTAAATTCAGCTACTTTCTATACAGCATTCCACTTCTGCCTTTCTCTGTGCCTCCAAACACAACAGTCCTCAAACTCAAAGCCGCTATCATCATCACCATCTGAAAGCCAGCGGGTAGCCAGTGGTGGCTTTATATGGTACCTACACATGATGCAATATTCAGAGACAACAGCTAATGCTTGTTCTCTGTGATCTTTCAAAAACATCTAAAAACTGGGATACAGCTCCTGCTGCCAAGAACACATCATTTTAATACATCAGTGACATTATTTTTAACGCAGAAGTATCTCAGTGTCAATGAAAAGCATCAACCACTCCAAAGAGATATTAAAAGGGACCACTACTCCTTTAATTCATACAACAGAAGAGCTATAATCCAGAACAAGTTACAGTTGGTTTCATTTACTGTAGTCATATGATGCAAGTGTCAGATCACCAAGAACTAGGCTAAAACTTTTAGTGAAAAATCCCTATCTTGCAAAAATGGAATGTAAAGACTGTCAGTAAGTTTTAGCCCATCTAAAAAACCAGTTTTTCAAAAGAGACTTTTTCAACTCTTCCTGGATTGGTCCAAAATTTAAACTAGTGTCCAGCACACCAGCAGGGATTCATTAAATAATTACATGGGATCTCAGAAAAAAAATGAAGAAAAGCAAGCTCATTGTCAAACACAGGTATTGACAAATGGTCCTCAACAACAGCAGTAAAGGAAGTCTGTTCCAAAGCCGTCTTGTCTACTATTAAGCATCTGTTTCTCTTTGAAAAGATCTGTGCTGGTCTTGACTGGAATAGAGTTAATTTTCTTCACAGTAGCTAGTATGGGGCTGTGTTTTGTATTTGTGCTGAAAACAGTGATAACAGGGATGTTTTCGTTACTGCTGAGCAGTGCTTACACAGAGTCAAGGCCTTTTCCACTCCTCACCCCACTCCACCAGTGAGCAGGCTGGGGGTGCACAAGAAGTTGGGAGGGGACACAGATGGGACAGCTGACCCCAACTGACCAAAGGGGTATCCCAGACCACATGACATCACGCTCAGCATACAAAGCTGCAGGAAGAAGGAGGGATGTTTAGAGTGATGGCATTTGTCTTCCCAAGTCATCATTTTGCATGATGAAGCCCTGCTTCCCTGGAGATGGCTGAACACCTGCCTGCCAATGGGAAGTGGTGAATGAATTCCTCGTTTTGCTTTGCTTGCATGCATGGCTTTTGCTTCACCTGTTAAATTGTCTTTATTTCAGCCCACAAGTTTTCTCATTTTCACTCTTCTGATCTATCCCCCTATCCCAATGCAGGAGGGGAGTAAGTGAGCAGCTGTGTGGGGCTTAGTTGCTGACTGGGGTTAAACCATGACAAGATATTAAACAAATTATTGTAACAGAATTCTCCAAATTTGATTTAATCAAGTATTTGCAGCCTGTTTTAAATTACTGACTTCAGTTAGAATATGACACCAACTCTATTGTGCCACACAAGGACTATTTTCTCATACCTTGTTTCTACATAAAAAGGCAAGAAGCGTGCACCACTGTTCTTGTTTGCCACCACCTCCTCCGATGACAGGAGCTCTTTCATAACCCAGGACACTGACAAATCTTGCTGCTTGTCTAGGTGTGTCTAGTAACCGGCCTGCTCGAAGTGGTCTGATATATGAACATACTGGATGGTTTACTCCATTTTCATCCTGAACATATAAAATATAGTTATTTGCCAGCCATGTAGGTATCACTAAAAATTCCTCTCAACTTACAACTGCTTTTATGCAATGGGATTTACTCTCCCTGAAATAGGTATCACTCAAAAATATTAAGACACAAAAATACTTCTAGAATTAAGACACAAGACCATTAAGACAACTCATTTAGAGACATTACAGTTAGATTTTTCTGCTGGCTCTGTCACTTGTAGGACATTCCAGACTAGATATTCAAACACCTGGAGCAGCACAGGCTGCAATGGGTGAGGAACTGTTCATGCTCCACCCACTATCGATTTCCACATCATCATCCAGCAAAAAAACAGATGAAAACAAATCCCCCCCCAAACCCACAACAAACCCCAAAAATAACACCCCCCAAAAAACATTAAACATTCAGCAACTGATTTTAGACTTTAAAAGGTGTTTTTGTGCTTCTGAATTTAAATACTCTTGTCATCAAACCAGTAAAATTTACTCACAACAAAGTAACTAGATTTATATAAATTAAGAATATAATAAGAATTTCTAATTTCTTGGAAAAATGAAAAAATAAGATGACTGGAAAAAGGTCTGGTTTATTACATGCTGCTGGTAAATACTACGGTTATCAGCTATTAAAACTATTTCAAGAAGTATAGAACTCTACCTCACTGGGCTAAATTGGTACTTTTATGTTCATTTATTTTAAAAAGGGATCAAAGCCTTTTAAATCTCTGCAGCTTCAGGAAATGATAGTTTCATATTTTTACTGTTGTCACATATTGCCCCCATTAAGGTTTTGTCATGCTTTTCCAACAAGTTGGTGTATGAAAAGCAGCATCTATTTGAAGATGACTAGAATCCTGAATAATTTTCATTATTTCACAGCTTGAAAGCAATCAAAAAAATCACAGGCAGGATTCATTATTTAATATAGCTTTATATATGGAACTTATGCTTCTGCATTAGGCATATAAAACTGGATGATAACTGTCAAACAAATGTGATAATCTAATTTCTGTTCCCAGTCAGTTTTACTAATATTTGCTACGGCCAGTGGGAGACTCAAGATAAACTCTCTATAGGTACTGAACTAGCAGGGGGTCTAGTTCCTATAGCATTCTGAAGGCTGCCAGTTTCTGTACTGGTCTGTAGAGAACTTAGTTCTCTAATCCTATCCACAAACCCTTCTTCCTCCAACCTTCCTCCCAATCCTGCTGTAGCTTTCCAGGTGCAGAAAACAGAATACCATTAATTCATACACTGCTTTATTCTCAAAATAGGACAAGTCCATTCTTACATCATGTCCCCAGCCAAACTCCCAAGTTCTAGAATTCCCTATTTAATTATATATTTGGTTCTCTATATACCCTGCCCTGAAACCCTTAAGCCTTTGTACTGGGTCTGGTTGTAATGGAGTTAATTTTCTTAATAGCAGTCCCTATGGTGCTGTGTTTTAGATTTGGGACCAAAACAGTGTTGGTAACACAGCAGTGCTTTAGCTGTTGCTGAACAGTGCTTGCACAGTGTCAAGGCTCTCTCTGTTTCTCATTCTGACCCTACATGGAATAGGTTTGGGGTAGACAAAAGGCTGGGAGGGGACACAGCCGGGACAGCTGACCTGAACTAACCAAAGGGATATTCCATGCCACGGAGTGTCACATTCAACAATAATACTGTTGGGGGTGTATGGAACAGACTTTTTCTAAACTCGCCCCTGCTTGGAGACTAGCTGGGCATCAGCCTCCTGGTGGGATGGGGCGAGTGATTGTCTTTACATTGCTTTATTCCCACACTTCCTTTATTTCTTTTCTTCACTTACTAAACCATCTTCATCTCTACCCATGAGTTTTTCCTCATTCTTGCCCTTTATATTCTCTCACCCATTCTGCTGGGGTGGAGTGAGTGGCTGACTGGGGAAGGGGCCTCAGCTGCTGGCTGAGTTTTGGAAGTTCACATCACTACTGAACACACTCACGGTACAGCCAGAATGGAAGTTGTTACTTCACTGACGAGAAAGAGTAGTCACAAGAGTAGTCACAGATGGCTTCACGTTACTCTGAGATGATAAGTTACTGCACATTATCTGTTAGGAAAATTGCTACTACACAAGCTAAATTCATAGCACAGAAAACGCAAGGATCATACCATTCCTTTTATTGAGAGACAGTTACCAAGAAGTAACTGACATAGTAATTTATTATTTTAGCCTACAATAATTGTGTCCGTAGCTATCGTGTGACATTAACCTGACAGGTTGTTATATGAACACAGAGAGATCAAATATTGTGTGGATCTGTTCTAGTAGACCTAGTAAGTGCATTTTTTTCTAATTGTTTTATCTGGTGTAAAATTTGTTTGAAATTTTTGTTTGATCTGCACAGATCTTTGGTATTTGTGAGTATTCAAGGAAAAGACTAAACAGGCTTTATCACCTCATACATCAGAGGTGGCTGGAGCAACCCTTCTGTCTGCATCATGCTATTAAGCTGATTCAGTACAAACATAAGTTAAATCCTTACAAATTTCATTTTTTGCATGATACATCACACGTAGCCCTGACCTGAATGTAACGTCATAAATCTATACAGATTCTATATACACATAAACTTCAAAATATATCAAAAAATTTAAAAATGACTTGAAGAAAGGAATCATCTGTTTGTAAAATTTACCAACCTGTGCGAAAATCTTTACTAGCCTTACATTGTGCGTAGGTCTAATCTGTAGGTATTCTCTCCACCATTGTTTAGCATATACAAGAAATAACCGTTCTTTTTCTGCTGTTTTCTGATGTTCCAGAGCAAACTGCAGGTATGAAAAACATAACCAATCACATATGCATTAATTCCAAACAGAAAAAAAAAAAACCACCATACATGGTAAGTACATTAACACCAAATCCTGGCATATGCAAAATAAAACTTACTATTTAAAGCGTATCACGCAAATGCTGAAAAATAGTATTTTTAAATGAAAATCCAATGAACAAAAACCTCAAGTTACATTTCTTGTTTGTAGGCTCATACAACAAACTTGACTGTAGTGTTCATCTTAAGCAATGCACCTCTGTACAGAAGGATTGCTCAGCTTCTCATGTGCAGAATATCTGCATGCACCTTCAGGCTCAAATTTACTGGCTTTCCAGGCAGAATAGCTAATTTGAAATTACTGTTTCAAATGGGAAAGAGAGCAAGAAAAAACATATACTATACAAAGAAAATTAGGTATATCACATCTCTTACTTCTTAAAGTTTTGATGTAAGTAATCAGGAAAACTACTAAAGTAGTATTTCAAATAAAGTAATGTTCAGTATAAATAGTTTTAAAAAAAAAGTAACTGCATTTAAATTTAATGGAAAAAAAGAAGTACTGAACATTCAAAAGCCCACAGCACTCAATATCTACACATAATTCTGTACTGAGCTTCCCTTCCCCCTACCCCTGCCAATCAGAATAAGTCAGCCCCCCCAGATATTACTTACTTGGGTATTAGTTACTTCTGGAGACAGCATCTTACTAAGCTGTGGATACATTTCCAGCCTGACGTTTAAAACACCAACAGAAACTTTTGATTCTGTGCCTGTGAACCAAAATTAATTTTGATCAGTTCTCTCAAATTCAATTTACTTAGGACATTTCAGTCAAGCAGGAGCAGATAATTACTGTTAGCTATATAATCACAAAAAATAATTAAATGTCTTTAAACAGATGCAAAATAAGAATCTTCATTTAAATTTCAAACTCACATGAGGTGGTAAGAAAGCATAATCTGGCCAAAAAAAACAGACATCTAGATCTGAGATAATTATCAAAGGGCCTTTTTGCAGCCAGTACCAGGATGTATGAGATGGAACAGCATTCTAGAAACATCTAGAATAGACATCTAAAATAGGGCAGGAGAGTCACACCCTGTAAAAGTGCCTATTCCTACTGATTACACAGGTAGCTCAACTTTACGTAGTTGGACATAAGTGAAGTTCACCTTCCCTAAAATACAGTTAATGAGGACATAAGTAAAGTTCACCATCCCTAAGATACAGTTAATGATGAAGGACCTAGAGTGCTATACAAATAGATTAATCAACTTTTAAAAAACCCAAAACAACAAACAAACCACAAAATCCCACAAAGTTAATGTTTTTGCATAACACTGAAAATTTAGAACTATATAAGAACAAGAAGCATTACAGAACAATAGAGAGATAGGATTATAAGCAATACAAGCAACAGAAGCTTCACATTGTGTATTTATTGTGTATTTATCTGAGAATGTAGCAGGCTTTGATGTTCTTGATATAATTTGTACAATGACAAAAGAAGAGAACAAGCACTGAATTTACTGGATTGATACTTTAAGACTTAGACAAAAGCTAATGATAATTAGGTTTAACTCCTCCCATCACCCATTTGAGTATTAAACTCAACTGTCATGCATTTCCAAGCCATTACAAATAAAAAGCTCTCCATCTGAGAGACTATCCAAACCCATATATAGCTCACTATTTAGCTCACTACGTTTTGCCAGTGTCAGCGTTTAAGCTTACTAGGTATGCTTTCGTTATCTAAAACACTGCACCAAATCATCCCTCTGCCAAAAAGGCAGGCAATAGCGATAACAATCAGGAATAACTTAAGTAGTATATTTAATCTTCAAAATATTTTGAAGGTATAATTTCATCTCTTTTAAAACTATCAAGGACTGCTCAGCTACCTAACAGGTAGAGAAACTGCGATAAAGAATACTCGACTCAGCAGCTCAACTCGACCAACTGGGACAGCTAGTGTAAGAAGTCATGATAGGCCAAGTCCTAGAGCTAACTTGTATCCACTAAATCATAATATCCTAAAAACTTATGTTGGAACTGGTAAAAACGGGAGTGGGGACAAGTGATACACAAAAATACACATGTATACTAACTGCTAAGCACCTAAACAAAGCTGTTCATCCCTTCTGTCAGAAAACATGCTTCCCACTACTGGAATAAATGGCACCACAGCAGAGATGACGATCTCTAGCAGTTGACAGTTTGCTATGAAAGGGGCACAAACTAGATTTTCCTCTTCAGTGCACCGGTCTGATATATTCCTGGAGATGAATGGTTTTTGTTTGGTTGGTTTGTTTTTGATAACTCATCCAGATTTTGCAGAAAATCAACAGTGGGAGTTTCCAGACATGGGGTCATTATTACACAGGCTCTGGAATACAGGTTTAGTATTTTGGTAATGAAAAAATTGGACCATTAGTCTCCTACACATTCTCTAAAGATACCTTCTAGTAATTTATGAGTTGAACTAAAATTAAACTACACCATAAATACTGCTTTAAGCTTATAAGCAAGCTCAGTACCCAATTTTTTAAGTCATCATTACAACCTTATTCATCCTTACCTACACCCAGGAGTTCGACAGCCACATTTGTTATGCCATTCTCTGCAGCCAAGACAGATCGCCACTCCAAGAAATAGGATGCTACTAGTGTTGTCTCACCAAATGTGTCTGTTTTGATCAGAACGATATGCACTGGATCACATATAGATAACATAGTGGTTGCATCCATCATCTTACTTCTATCACCTGCCATTATTAAACCAAGATAAGATAGCAAGAATATTAACATAAGTCTTCTTCAAAATTAAAATGTATGCATTTACATTCATTGCAAACATTGCATTTTAAGAAAAATCTTGCATCCAGAAATGTAAGCAATGATTCCATCTTAAAATCAAACTCCATTTAGGACAGAACTACAGAAAGATTCCAGTAAATTTAAAGAGCAGATAAAAAGATTTCTCTAGTTCAGTGGTCCAATGTAACTGGTTCAACTGCATAAAGAGTAAAATGGAATTAGCATTTAATAAAGAATATTAAAGCATCATTAACTAAAAGCAATTGAAAAACGTTCTTTCCTTAACATGGAATGTGTCAAGTCAACTTACTATACATCAGTATATAAGTAACAACTTTCTCTGTAGTTAAGATTGACCTTATGATATAATTCGCTCCATGAGCAGCAGAATTAACTAAATCTGTTTTTCTTTGACTTTGTGGCATATTCATTCACTCCCTTCCCCAAGTCCAAATGCAGTAACTCTGGCTTTCTCTCCATTCACTGATATTCCATAAACTACCTTGGATTTCTACAGGATTCAGACAATATCCAGAAGCTTTTCTGTAACACACTTAGATCCTACCATGTTCCCTGGTTACCAACAGAAGAACATTAACACAGGTTGTGGGTGACTGACTCGACTGCAGGTGTTCGCAAACTGGTGGGCAGACAGAACTCACACTGAAGTTTTTCCTTCCATATGGCAACAAATTTACATTTCCCTTCTTCACTTGTCAGCACTAAGTTCATGAAAATCACAGCCACCTTCATATCTCTTACCATCTCTGACAACCATCATCTCACTGTCAGTGGTGGATAAAGTTGGTCAAATTCAGAAGTTATTTTAGAGTGGAAAAAGAGGAAAAGAAGAGGCAAAAGTAGAGAAAGATCTACAAGTGAAACAACCTAATAAAGTAATAAGTTTCCTTAGAAAAAATAGGAAAAAAAAGCCACTAAATAATATCAAACATATTTCACAGAAACTCTGAAGTCATAAAAAAACGCCAATAGCTTTAAACCCACAATATTCCTTACCTAGGCTATCCTTGTGTACTTCAAGTAAAAAACCATCATGAAAATCTGGCTCACAGGCACAGGGTACGGGTTTAGAACGGAAGCGCTGGTTTCGAAAATGTAAACACAGAGTGAAAGTAGAACAGATTTGGCCAGGCAGAGGCTCCGGTTCCTGAAGATGTTCCAGAAAAGCTTTTCCACCCAAAACCTGAAGGTAAAGATACCTCCGTGTTGGGTCAATGTTAGCTGTAAAGCGTAGCAATAAAAATGAACAGACTACAAACTGATCTTAGAAAGAATGTGAAATATCAGTTAACTAACAGGAGAACAGAAAAAATAAACCCAAACTTTAAAAAAAGTATTTAGGAGAAAGCCATTTTAAAATGTATGGAAGTTATCTTAATGTAAAATAAATCACATTTTTTTAAAAAGTCACATTTTATGCAACACTAATTTCTGCTGCTTACATTAATTTACTCCCTGTAGATAAGCAGGAAAAACATCTACCTTCATGACAGTTCATACTGGATTACTAGTTCAGAGTTCAAAAATCAGAGCCTTCAGATTTCGCTCAAAACTATGATCCAAATATTAAAATAAACAAGCAACATACTTTTTTCCAAAACTGGTGGTTCTCTGTCAACAAAATGTGTTGATGGTTTTGGAGCAGAAGTCCTCACCTTCTCATTCACATCCTGGAATTACAATTAAGACTTTTAAGGCATCAAGGGATGCAACAGTGTTCCTACCACAGTCCTCTAAAAATTAAAAAATCCTCCATTTCAACTGAATGCCATTCCCCAGGTATGCTCCCTTCTAGTACTTAAGATGTAATGAAACTGAACAAATACTTTCAGTGTAGTATTATCATCAAACCAATTTTAGCATGTGCATTAAGCTGTTCTACTCCTTATATGTCACAAATCAGCAAAGCCATTACACACCTCCAGAAGTAGTGCATTTTCAATTTGTCAAAACACCGAGTCAGTAAGAGGAATAAGCAAAAATATTTTCACTCTTCAAAAGCTACTTACAGTTACAAATTTAAGTTCCTTCATAACATCATCAATGATTCCTCGTTGTCTTAAGGCTTTTATCAGATCTTCTGTGGATAACTGCTGATGCTCAGGTGCTAACTCTTCACGTATAGTCTCAGCAAGAACTTCTCTGATCTTGCCATGCACATCCATCTGAAAGAACATTTACTATTATGCTACAAATACAAGCTCTTTGTATGGTAGCAGTTATCACTAACACTCTGTAAGACTAAAGATATTCTCCTAGGAACACAAAAATAACTACACCAAAGTACTAATCCTTTCAGAACTAATCAAATAAGTCACAGTATCTCAACCAAAGCAGCTCTACCAGTTAAAAAAGTCATGAGCATACCAGTCATGAGCATTTTCACTGCTCTTGACAGCATCCCCTGCCTTGCACTTCCCTCCTTACAAATAGGTCTGTGAATCCATCAATTAGAAAATGGCCACTGCTTTAAATTCTCGCCTCCCTCAAAATTCAAACCTACAATAACAGTTTCTTATTTTTTAAGGGTAAAAGTGCACCTTTATATACTTGTAGGTAAGGCACAAAAGTAGCAAATCTCCATTGCAAGCTTCCTCTATGCTCAAAGGAAAGTCAGGAAATTTCTGTCTTTCATCTCAGCATGAATTTGTAAAGCTGTTTCTCACACTGGAAGGAGGTTAAGGCCAGTGCACTGGGACTTGAAATACTTGCGAGATATAAATTAAAACATTCATCTGCCCATCAGTTCAAGAGCCAGCCCAAGAACCTCGCTCAAAAGGCAGCAAAAAAACCAAAAGGGGGGGGGGAATTAAAAAAAAAATAAAAAAAAAAAAAAAAAA